GTTAGTGAGTTTTTCCTGGCTTGTACCTCTGTGCGCAGAAGCCTTGATGATATCGTTGACATCCACACTGAAATTATGTGGCTCCCACATACAGAAACTCTATTGTGAGAACTGGTCAATTATTAAACTTGCTTGCAGTTTAACGGCAGCAAACAACATAATTGGATTGTTTTTTATTTCTTTCTATTTTGGTCATGTTCTCTTCATTGTGTGGTCTTATGTGTGGCTGGTAAAGACAGCTTTAAAATCAAAAGAGGGCAGGAAAAAGTTTACACAAACATGTGTGCCACATTTGTTATGTCTGCTTAATGCTTCAGCTGCTTTGCTTTTTGACCTTATGTACGCTAGATATGGATCAACGTCTATGGCACAGAGTGTAAAGAACTTCATGGCTATACAATTTCTCATAATTCCACCTATAATCAACCCTATTATTTATGGACTGATACTGACTAAAGTTCGAAGTAGAATGATATATTTGTGTATGATGGCAGGTCAAAGGTTTAAATTGAAACACCAGGTTTGATATGTCAACAATTAAGTATCACTGTATTTGGACTAATCACATGGTTGTTCTGTGTTTCTCCAGACTTGTAGCTTTATTGTCAGGCTGTTGCAATGATAATGATCTTTAAGCTGTTATGTTGCTCACTCATTGAAAAACTCAACACAATTGTCAATACTGTTGGATTTATCTTACTATTTTTCTGTTTTGAGATTTAACATTTCTTTTCGTGTTTGTATCAGCAGATTGCTAAATCAGTGATTGTATAAAATAAAAAAATAAGAATATAAGTGGCCTTGCAAGTTTTAAAGCAGACTGGAGCATTTCAGAGTATATGAACCCTTTTTCAGGTCCCTGAATTTACATAACTTCAGTGGTCCATGGTATGTAGGTAACTCAGGTATGATGTGCACTCTTAGAGATGTGTCATTTCTTATTTCTTATTGAACTGATATTTTTGTTAGACCCTGTTGAGTCTTTATAATTTTAAAAGTTTATTATAATTTAACAGCATTGCCATATCATTTTATACTGAAAAACAAGGTATCTTGGTAAGTTTTGTCATTATTTATTTATTTGTCATTTAGAGCATGATTTATTGAGTGTTAGTAGCATAGAGTGAGGCTCTCCTTTGTGTCCAGGGCTGGGGAATGTGATGTTCAGACAGCTGATGAAATATTGAGCAGAATTGTATTTGAGATTTGAGTTGGCTTTTATCTTTTATAATTGAAAAGTGCAAATCAGAATTTTTATGGCTTACTAGCATGAGCACAATAACATTTGCTGGTTTGAGTGTTACTACTACTACTGCGTGATATAAAGTATAAAGTGAAACTGAATATGTGAGAGGCATCTTCATACCTATTCCTATTGAGTAGAATGTTAATTGGAAGGAATAGAAAGTGAATTGTGTAAATTTAAATGCAAATTAAAGTAGTTTAAAGTAGTAAAAGATTTTACAGAAACATAATGGGAAGTAGTTGGTAGAGGGTCAGAGACTGAGATCCTGTAAAATGCATGTATGATAGTTGGTCCCAAGAGCATAAAATCAACAAACAACAAGAGCATAAAAACAACAAACAAAATGTGATAAACAAAAGGAAAATAAAAAAGTGAAAGGACAACATTTAAAACAAATAAGAGAAAAAGAGTGGTAAAACAACTAGAAATAAATTAGCTAAATGTAAAATCCTTCCTTAAATCCTTAAAGCCTAGTTAATTGCAAACATATAAAAGAAATAACAAATGCAGAGTTAAACTAGTGCAACTAAAACAGAACAACTCTACGCAGAGCACAAACAAACCTTATTGGATAAGTCTTCAAGAAGCACCAAAACAAAAGATTAAATCATAACATTTAATCTTATAATACTGGTGTCTCTGTTACTGTTGTGGAAAGTGTCATTTATGTTTTCTTTGTATTTCTAAATCTTAGAGAGTTACTTTAATGATATTGTAATCTGAGAAAACATGAAAAAAGAGCACAAAATGTTTTTTGGATCAAAACGAAGTGCTTTTGTAAATACACACACACACACCTTTGAACAAAGTTACATCTCACCCTCCTGGGACAAAGGCATGGGGAATTCCTTCCATTGTGGTGAGAAATTGCTCATTTGCAGCAACCCAATCTAAACCAACCCTGTCTATGGCACCTCCAGCAGAAAGACCATGAAATGGGACTAAAGGGCCATTAATTAAATTGGCAAAACAAATGAAGAATCTAATTTAACTAGACCTGCAAACAGATATCAACGTGGTCCAAGCCCCCCGATGCAAACTACACTCGAATGCACACAGAGGCGATGCATGTTAGACCTGCAGTCCCACGGGTGCGGCACAATTGAAGGTGGAGAGCAGGGCCCCATTTCAGAAAGCAGGCTTAGTAAGTACTCTGATTTAATTGACCCATAGTTGAGGGAAACTAGGTTTTCTGTTCCAGAAAGAGAAGTGATTTAAACTGGGAACATAACCTGCTTGCTTGCAGATTCTCTTCAATAAACCCTGACTTTCTCTCTGAGTCCTCCCTCTTACCGAGGCAGACAAGCTGTTTCATATCTTCATTGATTCAATCTGTATCAAAGTGTGTACTGAGATTACTGAGTGTACAGAGGTTTACTGTATGTTACTGTTGTTCTTTGAACAGGAGCTTTTGCTTTCTCTTTCAAATTGCCCTCAGCTCAGAACAAAACCTCATCATGTCCTTCTTTTTTTAATAACACTGTGTGCACACAATACAGCTGTCCGTGGAGCTGTAGAATGTAGTTAGAAAGTAATATAATATAAGCAAGAGTGTAGGCATTCAACCTGTAATTCAAGACAGTCAGTATCTGTTTGCATTTACCTATGCCAACAATGTACATTCACAAGATGAGCCCAAGGGTACACTGAGTCACCTACAATATTTTGTTGTGCCTTACACAATGATCTCAAGATCTTTCATTTCCAAAAGGTCCTCTCCTGATACAATATGTAAATTAGTTACCTAGGCTCTCCCTCTACTTGTTAGACTTACACAGTGGTCCTTCTCAAGGCTTTGGCTGTGAAGGGACACAAAGCTTCACTAATGAAGGTTTAGTTGTATGAGAGTGTGGTCCAGTATTTGAGAACACATTATCTGGTTCTGCAAGGGTCCTTACTCTCACCGGAGTAAAAGCCATATTAATGGCCAAATAAGTCAGAGATGAAGACAATCTGTTTATTCTGATTATTGTCCATTCATGCACTAGGGTTTCATGACTATAAATCATCTTTCATACTCTTCGTACATGAAATATTTGAAAGATTTGCGCAATCTGTTCTCACTCAGCGCCATAACTCTTCTTACAGGCCTGGGCAGGACGTCCACTTTGCCTAAAAGGCTATATTACAGAGACACAGCTATATTACACAGACATACTGATTGTTAATACCAAGCTATTCTTATAATTTTGGTTATTAAATGGGATCATTATATTATTTAAAAACTGTCAAACTTAATGAAGCTGCTTTGTGAAGCAGCAGCGACGTTTGAACCTTTTTGACAAGTTCCTACACAATGTATTCAAACAGCGACCTTCGCAGGAGTGAACGAACCTTTGAATCATAAACCCATCTCTAGTTTGTGATACTCATAAACCATTGTGTTTATGTTCCTAATATTTTGTCCACCCCATGCATACATGTTGACCAAAAACCAAATTTGGACAGCACATCAGCCTAACCCTTGGTCCACAATATTTACCTTTACTTTCCCTGTGGAGTCTACGATGTAACCCCCACAAAGTCATGATCGACTGGCCTAAATATGTGAAACCATTTTATTGGATGTTGAACCTAAGTCACGTTGGAAGTAGGAGGTCACATATATTCACAGTCACAGTCAGACAGACTGAAGAAGAGCACCATATCTTTCATCCATGGCTGTTTACGCAACAACTCATTCCTGTCTACCGAGCTGCCATCATGCACCCACAGAGGAAGACAAACATAAACTAGAGAGACAGATACATACATTCATATATATATAACCTATGCATTCATGCCAATAAAGCTGATTTGAATTGAATTGACAGAGGTCAACCTGGAAACCCGGAACAACCCGGAAAGACAAAAAGCAACAATGCGTGGCCCTCAACTCATAGAACAATGGAGCTCTATGGAATATGCGTGCTTTAAACAGACAGACATTGGATGTGTTGACAGTATTAAATATAAAGTTATCTCCAGCATTATCCTTTAATGCATTATATAACATAAGTTGCAAAGGTATCTATGGTTTTGTGAATTGCTGTTTCCCGAATGAACTCAGTTGCTCATTTCTCTTAAAAATAAGAACATGTGTCTCCCACACAATCAAATCAAAAGTATTTAATTTTTTAGGTGGCTGTCAGGAAAAGTAGCCTGAGGTGAGTTATAGAAATCAAAAGCAAATGAATCATTATAACTCACACCACAAAAGAGTTTACTTAGTTTATTTTAAGCCATGCACAATATTTTACAATATCCCTATTGGGACTACTTATAATATATCTGGTAGGGTTTACTGAGTTTACTGTGAGCTTAAAATACTTTACACAATAATCTGTAATATTGAAATGCCTCAATGCCACATTTCTGACAGCCCAGTTCCCTGGTTTGATTGGAAAATGTTGATCTGAGCTTGATCCAGATGCACATATGGTCAAAAAGCAAATATGACGCACATGTCTGCATATATGTCCTACTCCACTCTTTTGACTTTAAAGCTGTTATTCTACGAACAAAACATATGGACAATCAATAAAAAATGTATTCCCATATTTGAAAAATACAATGATAAACCTAACAATACTAATCATCCTACATATTTTACCAATTCTCTCAATAGAGTTTTTCTATGTGGGTGACCCATCATTCCATTTTAGAGATTGTTTTCGTCACAATAGCTTAACAGAGAAAATATACAACTCTGGAGAAACACACTAACGACACTGTGTTTGTTCAAAATATAGTGGTATTTTAGTGGTTACACATATCAGACCCTGAGTGTCAATTTGAATCTCTGACTTGTCATTATACACAAATACATCATTCTTTTTCGAATTTGAGTCAGTTTGAGTCCATATATAATAGGGTTGAGAATAGGTGGAATTATGAGAAATTGTATCGTCATGAAGTTCATTAAATTCTGAGGCACAGATGCTGATCCATATCTCGAGTACATAACGTCAAATAGCAAAGCAGCTGAGACATTAAGCAAACATAATAAATGTGGCACACATGTTTGTGTAAACTTTCTCCTGCCCTCTCTGGATTTTAAAGCTGATTTTACAAGCCATACATATGAACATACAATGAGGATGAAATGCCCACAATAAAAAGAGATAACAATCAATCCAACAATGTCATTTGCTTTTCCTGAACTACAAGAAAGTTTTACAATTGACCAGTTCTCACAATAGAGTTTCTGTATGTGGGAGCCACATAATGTCAGCGTGGATGTCAAAGCTACAACCAGAAGCTCACAGCAGAGAGGTACAAGCCAGGACAAACTCACTAACACAGCAGTCCTTCGCACAGACATTACAGTGTGATACTCCAATGGTCGACATATGGCCACATATCTGTCATACGCCATAAGAACTAGAATAGAGTAGTCAACTTTTGTACTGGAGTATAAAACAAAGACTTGCAAAAAGCACCCCGCATATGAGATTACATGAATATCAGACAGAATATCGAAGGCAAATTTAGGATAAAAGCCTGCAGTTCCATAAAGTCCACTGATGCACAGGGTACACAGAAAAATGTACATAGGTTCATGTAAGTTTTGATCCAAGATTATGGTTACAATCAAACACACATTTACCACCACAATTAGACCATAACATAGTAAAGTCAGTAAGAAAAGAGGACTCTGTAGTTGACAATTGAACTGAAGCCAGACAATGAAAATAAAATTATACTAGATGTGTTACTCATTTTACATTAATCCTCCAAAACCAAAAACAGTCAAATTTACAAACAGTATCTAGAAGACAGGATAAAAGTTAAGATTAAAATGTTTATCATTAGCTAGGAACATGTCCTGTGTTTGTTGGACATGACATGCCCAAACGTTTTAATGTTACACAGTGTTTGTGTTGGAAACTGATGGTTTGTAGTTATAGAGAGCTCCCACTCTACTGCAGGTGTGTCATCGACTGGCAGCCTATAGAGGTTAAAAAAAGGCTAACTTCTGGTTACTTAGGAACATTTAGGGTGACTCTGTAGTTGACTGTTGCTCTGAACTTCCAATGTGCCACTGACAGTTAGTTCAAAGGTTATTAAAAAAAGAAAGAAAAGTAGCCCAAATTGTTTAGTATTTTTTATTTTGATGGCAAATGTTGATAAGGCAAAAGAGAATATAGATGTCAGTGGTCCTGTTCTTAACTTCTGAAGTTTTGTTTGCTTTGTGTGACTGTCAAATCTCAACCGGTCTCCCTGTCTTTCCAGCAGAGACACAGAGAATCAAACATAGTTGCTCAGTTCTGCCAGCACCGTGGTAATGCACTTCGCTATCCATGCTACGCTGGGTGGTGGTCAGTCAGTGTCCCCCTTGTCCACCCCCATGGTCACATACATGGCCAAAAGGCCACACCTGGTGCAGTCCTTTGTTGTTTTTGTATGTGTTGTAAAGTTGTTTTGGTTGAGCTATGATTTAGAGTGAGCAGAGGCATACGATTGACCCCTCATCCCCCCACACCACTAAAACCAAATACAGGTAACACTTTTCTTCAAGTCCCCCTATTTAACATTTATAAGCAGCGTACAAACATGAAAAATTGGTTATAGCACACAATAACGGACATCTTTAAGTGTTTATTAATGTACTATTTGTACTATGTACAAATTACTATTTTTTCATTAATTATCTGTTTATACACCAACCTCTACTTTTGGGTGCCCACAGGAGGTGACATAGTTACTGATAAATACAATTAAAAAAGACACTCTAACCATTTGTTAAACGTTAATATACAGCTTATGAATGCCAAACAAGGGAACTTAAGGTAAAGTGTTTCCAATATACAATAGATTGATAGAGAAAAACTAAAAAGATTCATGGGATATGATGGCCTGTTTCATTTGAAAGGTAGCTGAGGGGTTTTAATATTTTGGAGAAGTTTGAAACTATGATAGTATGACATAATTATATACAGTGAGTGTCTTGTAACAACCCCAATGTAAACTGTTTGCTAACATGTTCATAATAACTTCATAAGTACGAATGTTTATGTGAAAAAAGTTACATAAAGCCTTTTTTGGCTCTTTGCAAAATTTGATTAATTAAATGTAATTTAACTTAAGGCAGGTTTTACTGGATTTTTTGTGTCATGATTTAAACAAATATCTGACCACTATTAAATCAGTTAAACTGCAAAGAAACAGCATAGTTGTTGTTTCATTACTAAGTATATGAGTCAATTGGTGTGAACAAATATTAGAAACACCTTTCAATAATACAAATCAATAGTGCCACAAACTCCAGCCTCCAGAATGACCACAAAGTTTATTCAACTCCTCTCTGAGTCCACAAAAACTGAATGAGAAAAACTAAAATGTAAACAACTCAAAGTAAACGTAGCCTCTTCAGTTCTTACAGTTATTATATATGTGGAATCTACATCAAACTGTGTATCCTTTGTTGTTGTTTTTTTAGGATGAATCATTTACAAAAGACAGAGATCATTAAATGTTTAAAGAACCATGATGAAACAATGCATCACCCTAACCTTTTGTTGTCTTTATGCAATCTTAAACAACTGGTGCGAACTTGAGTCACTTTAAGTCCATAAATGATAGGGTTGAGAACAGGTGGGATCATGATAAACACCATGGCCATGAAGTTTGACCTACAGGTGAAACTCAATAGCGGCCTTCAGCTCTTCTGCATTGTTCGGTCTTTCATCTTTCTCTTGGCAATGCCCCATAGATTCTCTATGGGGTTCAGGTCAGGCGAGTTGATCAGGCCAATCACAGTAATCCCATGGTCATTGAACCAGGTTTTGGTACTTTTGGCAGTGTGGGCAAGTGCCAAGTCCTGCTGGAAAAGTCAGCATCTCCATAAAGCTCGTCTGCTGAAGGAAGCATAAAGTGCTCTAAAATGTCCTGGTAGACGGTGACTCTGGACTTGATAAAGCACAGTGGACCAACACCAGCAGATGACATGGCTCCCCAAACCAACACAGACTATGCAAACTTCACACTGGACTTCAAGTATCTTGGATTGTGTGCCTCTCCATCCTTCCTACAGACTCTGGGACCTTGGTTTCCAAATGAGATGCAAAATTCGCTCTCATCAGAAAAGAGGACTTTGGACCACTGAGAAACAGACCAGTTCTTGTTTTCTTTAGCCCAGGTAAGACGCTTCTGACGTTGTTTGTTGTTCAGGAGCGGCTTGACAAGAGGAATACGACATTTGAAGCCCATGTCCAGGTCCCGTCTGTGTGTGGTGGCTCTTGATGCAGTAACTCCAGCCTCAGTCCACTCCTTGTGAAGCTCCCCCACACATTTGAATGGCCTTTTCCTGACAATCCTTTCCAGGCTACGGTCATCCCTGCTGCTTGTGCACCTTTTTCTTCCACACTTTTCCCTTCCACTTAACTTTCTATTAATGTGCCTTGATACAGCACTTTGAGAACATCCAACTTCTTTTGCAATTACCTTTTGAGGCTTTCCCTCCTTGTGGAGGGTGTCAATGATGGTTTTCTGCACAAATGTCAGGTCAGCAGTCGTCGACATTTTTCAGTGGTCTGCATTGTTATAGTGCCTTTCTAGTCTTCTGACTATTCAAAGCGCTTTTATACTACGTCACATTCACCCATTCACACACAGGCTAGGATGCCAACTGCTCATCAGAGCGGAAATAACATTCATATGCATTTACACATCGATGGCACCAAGGGTGTCACTTTGTGCTAAAAAGCGGTGGGTACATTTAAGGGCTCAGATTAGGGGTGCAGTGATGCACTTGCTCCAGAAATGTGAACAAAGCAAGAAGATATTAGAATAAATATTCACTACTGTGATATATGATCTGGGAGGTCTGGGAGTAACCCCCAGCAGATTTTGAGCATTAAACACTTCATTTCCTGCATTCTGGAGACATTTTTTTTCCGGACCAATTTATGGTTGAAATGTCTTTTATATAAATATAGGGAAACACAAAATCCAGGTGTAAGGTGACAATACAAAATATAAAAATATAATGTAATATAATCTAGGAATCAGCAACTTGTTTTTTGGGGGTTTTTTGTTTTGCATATTCTTTTCTTAGATATTTACATTGCATTGCATTCTTCTTATTGTGCAGATGAACTTCTCAAAGCATTCTCCTTTGTTATTTAACATTTCTTGTTGCAAGCAATTTATCAGAACCATTTTAACAAATACTTTCAAAAAGTGGTGGGGACATGTCCCCAGCATCCCCAGTATAAATGACACCTATGGATGGCACAGCCTTCAGGAGCAATTTGGTGTTCAATATCTTGCCCAAGGATACTTCCACATGCAGACTGTGGGAGCCCGAGACTGAACTACCGGCCTTATGATAAGTGGGTGACCGCTTTACCCCCTGAGTCACAGCCGCTCCAGACTTTACTATCCACTCCTGTTTCACAACTAACTACAAACCTATCTGGATCTCGAACAGCCTGGGGCCAAAATATATGTATGATCTGCTTGAAGAATATAAACCTACAAGGGCTCTTATATCTTTGGGAAGCAGTCAGAACCGAACGCTGAAGAGCTGCATTTAGTGTTTATGTTTCGTGATGATTTTAAATGCAGCACAATTTACAAATCTGAATAATGAAATATGAATAAAGCCTATCCTTGCTTTGCCTTGTGGACCAGTTCACACTCCAGCAGAGTATATTGGAAGGCGTGGCACCTCTAATATGATCTTTTCTTCCATTATGGACTCTTTGGTTCTCTTAGTTCCCTCAAAGGTCAGCTCTGTTATAAAGTTTTGAAGTTGGTCAGTGATACACAGCTGAAATAAAATTTATTTTGCTTCCACTGAATCCAGTGATTGCATTCAAAATAATATATTTTGGTCAGATAGTATTTGCTATTTTTGTATTTTGCTCATGTGACAGATATTAATTTTTTTTTTCATCATGAAAGTTGGTTTTTATAAGTGTTGTGACTTCAGCTCAGTTAACTTTCTAAGTTGGCAGCTATAGCGTGCTGTTTTCAGCACCTGGGCCTCTCGGTTTTTTATCCTGCCATTTTTATCCAAATATGTATGGAAACTCTAAATGTACATACCAGATATGTTTTGCTAAATCATCAACTTCACAAAAAACATATGCTTTCTGTTTCTCTGGGCCTTTGTCATCCAGTATCTAACATTAGGGGCCTTCTCTCAGTATAGAGGGAGTTTGCACACAGTTACATGTTTGTTCTGCATGGAGACTGCTAGTCCCAGAGCATAACATCAACAACAGACTGATCTCCAGGGATACAGAGATGTAGTGGACTAATGACCCTGAGGCTTAATCATCATGTTTACTTTGAATTTCTCTGAGACATTGCATCACAATAGATGGGAGTTACATCAGCGAAAGTTTATAATCCTATCAATAACATGGATGTCTCACTAAAAACATGAGGTTGTCTCATAGGAAAAGTGTTTGTTGACGTCCTGAGTGTCTCCGGCCTTTGTTTAGGCAAGTTAAACTTTCATTTAAGTGTTTGGCTGTCTCATAAACACTGACAGTACTTAATAAAGACTATTTAATCTGGTGCAATAGAGTATAACTATGCATGGTATACTATAAATGCCTGAGAAGTACACGAGAATATAAAATATATTTAATAGAAAAACTGCATTTCAATCTTTGAGTTTTATAACAGTATGATACTCATATCAGTGCAATGATTTACAGTACATACCATATTTACTGTAACTCTGAGGTCCAAAACAAGGTGCAAGG